GCACTCACCCCACTTCTCCCAGCCTCGGGCCGCACCCCTAGCGAGGCTGCCGGAGCCCCAGCTCACGGACCAACGTCTCCATGGCGGAGCCCGACAGACTGGGAGAGGGACGGACAGGAGGTCAAACACGGGGAGCCAGGCGGAGCGCTCACTCCCTCCGCGGCGGGCTCCCCAGACCCCTGCGGAGCTGACACATCAACAAAGATGGCGGCGACCCTGACGCCGGCCCGGCTCCAGCTGAGAGGGCGGGGCTCCCGCGAGGAGCCAATCAGCGCGCGCAGGCGGCGTGACGCGGCGCACCTTGAGCGCCGGGGTAACCTGTCTGCGGTGGGCGTGGCCGGCACAGCCCCGCCTCCAACCTGGCGGCCGGGGGCGCTCGGGGCCCGGGACTTGACTTCGCTGGGCTGAGGCGCGCCCTGCCTCCTCTGAGGAGTGGACTCTTCTGCCTTTACCCCTGGCGTGACCCTCACGTCCATGCCACGCCCGTTCTTCCCTCGTGCCAGCGATTTCTTTCTGTACGGGGTAGTCATTGGATATTACTCCTTGGCACCCTTTGACCCTCTCTGGTCAGTCTGGGTGCATAAAGCAATAAAAGAGAATGCGAGATTGCGACTTCCAGCTCCCAGGTGCAAACCAGGCACCCAGCGTGGGCGGAGCCTACCTGCCCTCTGGACTATTCCTCCCTAGAAGGGATTCCTACCCCCTCCCCCCGGGGGGTTTCCATAACACCTGGGTGGCATCTACAGTGTGACGTCTGCTGCCATTGTTTACTAATGACCCTCTAGGAGGTGGCAGTGCCCTCAGTGCCTCACCCTGGCGGGGCAGCCGAGTCTGGCGCCGCAGGAGGTTCTCAATAATTAGCTGGGGCAGGAGGAGTTGCAGCTTCTGTCTGTGGGATGTTTTGCAAACCTCCCTTCAAAAAAGACTTTTCTTGTGTTTAGGGATTCTTGAGTGAACCTAGTTAATTCTGAACCTAGTTAACTCTTCAAGGCAAGAGTTCTTAAAGCAAAACTTCTTATGGTTCTGTTATCCTCTTTACTACTAACTGATTGGGGGGAAATCAGTTTAAAATACAACGCTAGTCTGTTGCTCTCTCATTGTCAAGCACTGGAAGTGGCACTCACTCCGTAAATGAAGGTACTTTATTAAAAATACAGTTTGCATTTAAAGTGCATTTTTGTGCAGGAGAAGGGTGGGACTTTCTACTCCCATAAACAGGTACAGCCTTGGAAACCCACAGAGGGGTCGCGACGCATCGGCATGGACTTGATGGCAGTGACTTTGGAGTTTTTCGGAGTGATAGTTGGTCATTAAAAAATTATTTGGCTTTTAAAAAGCTACTATTTGGCCAAACGTTCTAGTGAAACACATTAAGAAGCCCCAAACAGTTCATGGGAAAATGCCATTATCTTTTCATTCCATTTTTCCATGGAGCTTTTTGAAGTCTCCCAGTACTACACTAGAAGGAAGAATTGATGTCTTGGCAACATATTGCTGGCAAAGAATGATGAAAGTACTATACAGACTGCCAGAGGGACAAACAAATCTGTCTTGGAAGAAGTGCAAGCCAGAATGCTCCTTAGAAGCAAGGCTAGCAAGACTTCCTCTCACATTTCATCACATGTACTTTAGACGTGATGGCTAACGTATACTTTGGACATGTTGTCAGGAGATACAGTCCCTGAAGAAGGGCATCATGCTTGGTAAAGTAGAGGGGTAGTGAAAAAAGAATACACGTGTGTACATAGCCCACTCCCTGCTGTCCAGGCAATTCTGACTCAGAGAGACTACAGGGCAGGGTAAAACTGACCTTGCAGGTTTCTAAGACTGCAACTCATCATGGGAGTTGAAAGCCTCATTTTTCTCCTGGTGAGTGACTGGTGGTTTCAAACTGCTGACTTTGTGGCCAACCCATAACCACTACACCGCCAGGGCTACTTATATGTCTATAGATACACATGTGTTAGATGTCATGGAGTTGGCCTGACTCCAAACTGCCCTATGTTCAACAAAAGGCTTGGTCCTGCCCATAGTCACAGCATGGACTATGTTGGAGTCCATTGTTGAAGCCACTGGGTTAATCCATCTTACTAAGAATCTTCCTTTGTCTTTTATTTTTAATCATTTTATTGGGGGCTCATACAACTCTTA